GAACCAGTTAAGAAGGGATTATTTCACACGAACGATGTGCAGAGCAAATTGGTGGTATTTTGGGCTGCTTTAGTGTCACCAGATGAGGTGACATTAAGTGGTGAGGTGAGATGTCACTTACCACTTGATGCACGGCAAGAGATACGTATTTGGGGAGGATGGATGACAACTCTAGCCTTCTAGCTGATGCTGTAGTTGTAGGTGAAAATGAATTATTTTAAGGAGCGTAGGGATGATATCCGTGTACCAGATACTGCATATAAAATGAAAAGTAGTAAGCCTCTGTTCAGCTTGGAGAGGGAGTTAGGGAGTTGGATGGTGGATGAAACAACCAACTTAGCTTGGATTAGAGTGGTATGTAGTTGGTCGGAGTGCAGGAGGGTAGGAAATGAGAGGAGGGTAGCGGAGAGGACAGTGGTTTGCTTTACTGGTAGGCCGATGCATATGTGGGCTAGATACTGCACAAAAAGGCGTGGCTCTGCCCATTGCCCACTGGCCACGGCAAGGTATTGCATGGAGCTCTGCCGAAAACTCGACAGGTCTTTTTTGGTCGCCTGATTTTTCTTTTATCTCTTGATGCATTCCCATTGGCTAGTTGAAATAAACCATCCATTCGGTCAATGATAAGTCTCCTGAGTGGACACCTGCTTTATTGACTCATCGTCTATTTTTTAACATTTGAATATCATGCCTTCTGCCTATAAAATGTGATGTTGACAGCGAAAATGGCCCCACGGGCAGCACATTTGTTTATTGAAGATTGACCTTCTTATAGACGAGTTTGTATTTTTCAAAGCAAATTAAACACTGCGTGTGTGTGTACGTGGAGAAGAGCTGATATACGTGGGTGTTTCGGCAGCTCTTGTCATCTGCATTAACTGACCGGGAATAAAAAAAGCAACTAAATTTATTTTTAAGCAAAATGTTCCTTTCCCACCACGTGACACCTTTTTGCCATTTTCCCTGTCCCACTTATCATCTGCCTCAATATTTAGAGGGTAGGGTACAATGAACCACTGTTTACTTTGGGGCGTAATGGGACGGAGGAGGCATCTTCACTACTCGTAAACAGCTGGCGCAATGATGTCTATCTTTTTCCAGCCCCCACTACACGGCAGGGATATCAACACTTCCCTCCTGCTCTCTCGTCTGGGCTGCGATGGCCAAAGTGGTACTTAACATTTATTATTAGAAAACAACTCTCTCTTTTTGTCATTTATGCCTTTCTTGTCTTTTGTCTTTTTTTTTACAAACAAGTTTTCACTTGCTACTAATTTTGTATTTAAGCAGAGTGCAGATTAATCCATGGAGTTAATGTGATTTCATTACTGTTGTTCGCGTCGAATGCTGATTGAATGGTTGGCACGCAAATGTTGTACATTCTTTATCTTGGCGATACATATATTTGAAGAGCAACTGCGCTGCTTATGTCAGGAAATATTTGAACGATTTATCACTTTTGGGGTCGCACATATGTATGTATTACCCGTGTGGTAACCAAAATCATTTATACTAGCCAAGTCTCATTTGTCAAATAGGTTTAGCATGCTTTTTTGGTCAAAAGTAAGGAAAATGTGTCCTTTTAGTACATACTCTATCAGAATCTCGAAGAAACAGGGATCACTGCAAACTAAAATATTTTCCTGTTTCCATGTACCGCCAACTTTTACTAGACTCCTTTCGACCAGTTAAATTGCTTTTCAAAAATAAATAAAAACGCAATTGCTCCCAAACTTTGTCCTAACTCCAATTTATTATTTTAAGCTCACCCAATCTGTTTGCACGGTCGTTTGGTGCAATCATTTACCTCTCAAAGCCTGATGAAGTACACATACTAAGTATTTGTGGCTCCCGGGCTTAACTAAGACGGTCGAGGCGTCATTTATGTGTGTTTTCTGTAGTGCCGCTGGTGTGGCATTAACTTCTACAAACCCACTTACATGGTGTATTTGTTGTGACTTCCTTGTGTCCATATGCAGTGTGTATTGTCAATTTCCGTTGTTTTTTGCCTGTAATCATAAGTGGAGCAAATAAACAACCCCATTTTATCAATTGAGAAGGACCACACCCAATCACCCTACAGACATACAGTGGAAACGATAGGATTTTTTTGTGTACCCCTCGTAATTATATCGCAAGACTCACTTTCACCAACTCTGAAATTCCCAACCACGGCAAATACTATGCTTACTGCTTCTGAAAAATTGAATAAGTTACCGTTAACTTAGAGGCGATTGCTTCGAATACGAGGGAGGATTTGACACACCTCTTAACCAACTTTTTTTTCCTCACCCCTCTTCCTTTGCACCCAAGGCTGTCTATCCATCAGCTGCTATACGGGCAGTGAGGAATTCCGCTTGGGCAGTTTTACACTAGATGTGCAACTGAGCGAGGTGGCTGAAGGTAAGTCTGAATAATTCATGCCTTTCTCGTGCCTTTTACAATTGTTTGTGTGTATGGTTTTGTGTATTCACCTTCTCACTCGAGTCGGAGGTAACTTTGAACAAGTCCTACCACAGTTTTAGGGTGATTTTTAGTTGCAATTTGTGGTGTACCAAGATGGGCTGACAGTAGTTGATTGATTGTGGGGTGTTAGATGCACATATTTCGGTTTTTGATGAATTAAGAAAATGAAATTTGTTGTGGTTTACTTCGTGTGAGAGGTCAATAGTGATCATATTTACGAGTTTTCTTGGGCTTGTGGATGGTAAGAAAAACGTGACACCATCACAAAGTATTCCATTTGAATTTATTTTTCATATAGTCCCTTGCTACAGTTATCTCAGCATAAAATGATTTTTCAGAATGGCTGAAACATCCTGTGGCAGGTCTGCCTCACGTCGGTGGCTTGTGTCTTGGTCACGCAATAGGTTGTTATTCGTCTATCAGACGTCCTGAATCGGGCGGACGTTTCATTTGCTAGCTAAATATGCGCAGGAGTAACTTCTGTCCTGTAAAAATAGAACTAAACTACCATAGCCGAGATCATCACGGGTGCCTATGAAGCGTTGACGCCGTTCGAATAGTTAATTGAGGAACAGATGAGCGCTCCATCACAGTGGCGTACCGCGCTTGAAGTGGGTATCCGAGGATTGGGGTTTTTTGCGTCCCTACGGTCACATGCAGTTCATACAACCAAACTTGAAAACATGGATGTAATTAAACCCAAAGATGTAAAAATACAGTTGAAACTCACACAATATTACTTTTATGTATCAAATAAAGGTGAGCAAAGCCGTGGCTACAATTACATAATCTACGTTTCATCCCCTTTTCAGCTACTTATAACTCATTTTGTAATTCTACCTGTGAGCCTATCCCTACATAAGTAAGGATTGCGTTTTATTGCAAGCTTAGCAACACTAATCCCTCTTCTTCACCTCTGGAACTGTTGAAATTGGAAACTTACTACCTTTGGAAATGCAGTTCTCATTCATTTTCAATCTACCAAATTTCTCCTTAAATTGGCTGTTCTAGAGGTTCACATTAAACCGCTCCTTCTACTGCAGAGAGATGAATCACGCTTAATGAATTCGGAAGACCTGAAATTCCACTTATTTTTGGTGCATCTCATTATTGTCTCATCGGTCACATGATCTTTGCACTTAAAGGTCAATTTTGCTGCAACTTATATGTCAAAACTTCATATTTATCTAAACAAAGAGGTGGTGGAAGGTGATTCGCAATGCATTTTTAATCCCAAACGCATTCCTCCTCGCTTAGTTGCCACTTTTAATCCTTTTTAGTCATTTGTATAATTCGTACCTTAGTCCTTGTATCTTTTCACCGATTTGGAATTAGAAGGAGGGAGGAAGGGAGGGAAGACGAGAGTTAAATGAACTCAATGCTGGCTATTGCCCCAGATTACCAAACAGTCCCCATTGTCCCATTTTCGGCATCAATGTGCATTCACACTGCTGGAATGGGAGAGCAAAAGGTGAAGAAGAGTACACATTTATAGCTGGAGAGCTACTTGGGTAGTTATTACTTTACCAAGTGTCCAACACCAAAAATCTGATACCTCAAATGAGTGTTTTTCAATTCTCCTCCCTCGCTCTGATCTGATAAACACAAAACCTTCCAACCTGCACCGCTATTGGTACTAGAATTTGTCACATTAGTCAATCACGGAGGTGGTTT